AGAGATCCCAGAAAACCAGATTTTAGAGTATTTTTGTAAAAGCTGGAGTAACCTGCATGGGAATTCAAACCCCTGAGTGCGTCCGTGATGTGGCATCCTTTGGGATTCACCCGTCACCAGTTACAGGTTAACAAGAACCAGTTCCTCCTATGAGTGATTAATAACCCCAGGCACATTTGGGCTTGTTTCTCTTTTTGTCTGTTTTGACAGCAATATGATTATGACAGCAGCACTATCCGGAAGAAGATATTTCAAGAAGCACTGGTACAGATTACTTTGCCGACAATGCAAAAGACACTGGCTTCAGCGTGCAAACCAGTATGTTTCTGTGATTAGAAAAAAAAACAATAATAAAAGGCAGGGAAGAATTAACATCTTGGCAGTAAATCTGTTTTCTCTTGGGGAGTCAGGCAGATTGGCTGCCTGCTTGGCCAAATGATGCTTAGATTTGCCAGGTTGTGGACTGATGTGGCAGTAGGAAGATTTCAGGAAACAGGGAAACTGTATATACAGCTTGCTTTCCCAAAGCTAGTTGCAGACCTTTGCCCATCCCCGTTTCATTTCTTCCCTAGAGATCTGAAGTCCCCTCAAACTGGACTCCTCTTGACAGCTATGATTGTAGGTTATGAGCTTGTCTTTGTGTTCAGCAGCCCTGCTGCAGACTCAAATTCAGTCCGTGGGAGAGGGCACTTTCCTCTTCAGCACCCTGAGGCACAGCTGTGACCATACACAGCCTCTGCTAACGACCTCCTTCAAAGCCAAATGCCTGCTTGGGCAGCAGGAACAGCAAGCAGACAGGCTGTGCACTTGCTTTCAGTGATTTTAAATGGAAGTAATTGTCTCAACAATCTGGAAACAAACATACAGAGACATTCTCTGTTGCCCTTAATCATATGGGTAGGTTAGTACTCAGCAAATGCAGCTACCAGAGTTTCATGGAGATGTTATCAGTGTGGCCACATCAGGGGCCAGTTGGAATGCTTTTCACCGTGGCTCAAAATAAATAGCCTTTACCCTTCTCTTGCATTTTCACTGGACCTGCTGAAAGATGACTGCCCTAAGCCATCCCAGCCTCTCTGCCCTTTTGTTTCTCTTGATGTTCATCATATCCCTGAAGCTATAAGCTCTCACCACGGCGTGCTGCTCTTGCTGATCCTCTCCAGCTTGTTTCAGTTCCAAAAACAAGTTTAAAACTAAGTGTTTTGCCAAGTTATGCTTGCGAGTCTTTGAATATGGATTATTAATACTTACAGCTTTCAAAAATGTATTTAAAATCACTCTCTTCTGTATGTCACTCTACTTTCTTTACTATCCCCAAAATAATAGTCTCTTGTAGAGTGTCAGCAGTGCCTTCAAGACATGGTGTCTATGCACAGGGGCAAGCATTTCATCATCTTGAATGTATGTAGAGAGGATGGAGTCCCACATTGTGGCTCTGTCATACAGGACGGAGGAAGCAGTGGTGGTGCAAACCTCACATTTTAAACCTTTCTGTTTAATTTCCCGCAAGCGTTTTGCATTTGTGCCTCTGCAGAAATGAGCAGCCAGCTCTAGAAGCAAACGTGTGGCAAAATTGACATGCCCAGTCAAGTCTTGACCTTTTACTTGAAAGCCTCCAGGTGTTCGTATGTAGGCACCTCTTCTAGAAGTGGGCAGAGGTCACTTAATTTACTTTTTATAGACCACCAAGCAGCTGCTTAGTGATAATGACTCAGTTATTGTCTAGACAGCCTATTGCATATAAATCAGTAAGCTAAAAATGTTACACACCTATTAGAAAAACAAAACCAAACCCTGTATCTCCCATGCTCGCTGTGGATTTGGCTCCTTGGACAAACAGTGAGTGAGGCATTTCCTCACCAGCTATTTATTTCAGAATTGTTTGTTATAGTGCAGATGGCAATGATCTATAGTGCTTTTAAATGTAATTATAGCGCAAGAATACTGTTTGATAAGTGCATAATAAATTGTGAATACACATAGTTCATGTAGTCATAGTTCAAATAGTTCACCTCAAGAGCCAGCAAGGAGCATTACAAGACCTGCTAGATGGCATCTCCAGGGTGCTCTGTTGAAGTAGGACTCTCAGAATCTCTCATTTTTATATATCTGTTCCTTTCTTTGTGTCTGCACAGGAGCTGCAGAAATACGAGCAATTAATTTTTGCTGATTACACTAGCGTTATCCAAGTAGAGAATGTGTACGAAGAGATTTTATATCAGACACTGCTTGAAGAAACTCTGAAAGGTGAGAACATTCTTGAGGTGACAGTAATAACATTTTGGCTGTTGGCCAGTGAGCTCTTGCTTCAGACCTTCCCAGAGTCCTACCCTGGCTGTTTCAGACCCAGGTCCCGCTTTCCCGAAGTCTGGTGGTTACGATGCTACAGTGCTTTCATTTAGCTCACTAAAGACGTGTGGTAAGCCCTAAAATCTAAATCATGGGGCAGCTTTACTAAACCTGGGAAACCATGTGATAGCTTGGCTCAAGCCTGTTTCTAACAAAATGTAATTATGCCAACTTCATTTTATCTTGATTCCCTGGGCCAAGGAGTGAAATTATGCTCTTGTTTGCAAAGACTTGGTGATATCTAATGGCAGCGAAAATGAATTCCCCCAAATGAAATGTACTGCTGGATGCAGTTTCCAGTACATCACTGATGCCAGTGCAGTACTCCCTGCAAATTTCTCTGCTTTTGTGTCAGAAAATTAAACTATTCTTGATGGCATGTATAGATATATAAAATACTTGTATCTCTCTGGATCTGTCTGTCTGTCTATACTCTAGATAAAAAACAAGCTTCTGTATTGCACAATAAGTTTTAATAGCTCCTCTCTGGCACTCCTGTTCAAAAATACCAGTATAATAATTAATGTAATGAGCATGCTTCTATTCATATATTCACTGTAAATACTTCTGCATTGAAACATTACCCTTGTGCATTGCGGGTCCTCTGGTAGTTTTCTATTACAGCAATGCTTAGGTCAATATTGAAGTTCCATTATTCAGAAGAGATAAAATCCTCCCCCTCTCAAAGAAATGTAAACTAAAAAAGCAAGTTGAAAATGAATATCAAATATCTGTAGTATCAAAATGTATGACATTAGAGACTTGGGAAAATGGTGTACCTTTTTCAAGGTACCTCTGTCAGTCTTTCCAAAAGAGTTTGATCTTTCTGTTTTATTTAGTGATAAAAGAAGCTGCCGTTATGAAGAAGCACAACCTCTTTGAAGATAACTTGAATTTGCCCTGTGAAAGTGTGTCCAGCTTAACGGACCTAAAGACCCCTTCAGGATCAGCACAAACAACTCCTGCGAAGAAGCCTTCCACCGCCCGAGCCGAGATGTCAGACCCTGAAACTCAAAGTGACGAAACGCTCATTGTGACGGAAAAAATTTCTTGGGAGAAGGGTGCAGATGATAGAAGGTCATCAGACAAAGAGGCAGTTGCTTCCGGTAATACGGCTGGTGATCAGGCAGGCAAATGTGAACAAGTGGTCGTTACAGACATCGGTGAAATACAGGAATCCTTTACAGCTACCCTTACAAAACAAAAAGTTGGAGAGGAAAAAATTGTTCTGGAGAATGAAGACACGGTGGGAGCAAAGTGTGTAGTGAATGCTGAGAAAGAGCTTAAGACACAACAAGAAGCTATGGAGGAAGAAGTAGCTCCTGGGACTGAAACTGCAATGAAAGATTTTGGAGCCACCGTTGAAAAAGGACTTCAGGCACATGAAGGAGCAGTGGAGGAAAAGGTAACTTCTGAGAGTCAAACGGCAACGGATGCTGCGGTTGTTGGTGGCGCTGAAAAAGAAAGCCAAGCACAGGAAGAAGTTGCTGAGATAAAGCTGACTTCCCCACATGATAATGTAGCAGAAGCAGAGATTTCAGGGAATGCAGAAAAGAAAATCAAGGTAGAAAAAGAATTATCTCAGAGTGAAAATGCAGTAGAAACAGGGTTTGAAGAGGGCAGTAAAAAAGAAAGCAATGATGAAGGAGCGAGTACTGAGACAAGGGTTATTTCCCAGGATGAAAACACAGGGAAAGAAGGGTTTGGGGATAATCCTGAAAAAGAAAGCAAGTCAGAAGAAAAGAGTTGTAAATCCCCTGATGATGTGAATGAGATAAGGAGTTTGCTGATGGTAACGGTTGAGATACCAGTAGATACTCCAGCTGAGAACATAAAGGAGATTTGTGAAGCTGAGATATTAAAGTTGCAGGAGCACAATAAAGGGAACGACGAGTTGAGCAAAATGGCTGTGGCAAAAATTCAAGTGACCCAGACGATGATGAATAAAGATGCAGCAGAATGCATGGAGTTCAAGGAGGACCAACCATCTTCATCTAGTTTGGGGGCAGATGGTACGAATTTGGAGAATGTATCAAAGGTGGCCTGCAGTATGGCACAAGCAGAATGGCTGGTGGAAGGCTCAGCTACGCCTCAGGAGGCAAAGGCAGGGGTGGATATCAAGCAAAGCGTTTGGTACACAGGTGTGGGAAGCTGCCAAAGTGATAGATTGCAGCCAGGGGAAGACACTGAAAATGTGTCTGAAGGCAAAATATTAGGTGGGGAGGAAGGAGGAGCAGGGAATAGCCATGCCGTCCTGGTGGAGGTAGGGACTGAGAGCTTTTTTCATCATCCTGCTGAACCCAAGAACAGGACTGCTAGACGTGCCAGTTTCTTTGGTGCCGGAGCAGGGCGAGGTTAGCGCCATACAGGTCACAGGAGATACAGAGGCTGGTGAGGGTGAAGGGAAGCCAGAAGATGAATCATGTTCACACAAGGAAATAAAAAGCACAGAAGTAAAAGATAGTTTCACAGAAGAAAACAGAGAAGATAGTTGTGCACAGCAAAACTCTGAAGAGTAAGAAGCGTTTTTCAGCCCAGCCCTGCAGGATTTATTTACTCCAGTAATCCCTGTTTAATTGTGAATACTTACTTGGGTCGGGGCTAGAGAAAATGGGCTTTGTTGTGGTATCACCAGCTCTTGCAGTTTTAGCACAGATCCCTTCCTGAGTGATGGGTGATAGGTTTCTTTCCGGTTAAAGTCCTCACTGTTTAAAACCAGGTTACTGTTGGGAACCTCATCTTTCACTTAAAATTTGCTACCTTTAATGGTTATAGAAAAAGTCTGAAAATGTGACCACTGAGTGCTTCAAAAGCAACTCACCCCAACTATAAAGTTATTTAACAACTTAACTGTCCTTAGGTGTTTTAGCAGGGGAGTAGCTCATGATTTTCAAATGCATGGATTTAACAAGTACTGCTATGATTCTTAAGTGGTTGCTGTCAAGGATGCTTTTAGTATTTGCATGCGGTATACAGGAAATAAATAAAATTTCTAGTAGTTAAACAGAACAAACCAATTAATTTAGTAGGTAGCTCAAAAGCCATACTCTAGGCAAACTCTGCAAACTGATTACTTAATTATTTTAAAGTTTTGATGGTATTAAAGACAAGCAAGTGTTCTGATTTTTTTTTTCTCTTATTGCTATATTTAAAATGGGGAAAATATGGGAGCAGGTTTCTCAGTCCCACTCTGCACTTCTGGGTTATATAGCCTTCCAGAGCACTTTATGGCTATTTTATATTGTTTTATTTTATGGAAGGGAAAGATGAGAGTGTTTACAATAACTATAACCATTAGGCAGCATCTTTCTATTTTACTTCCCACCATAAAATATATTCACTTGCACCTATCTAATAAAGAATATTAAAAGTCCTGCCATTCCCATTCTTACTAACTTAAGTCAGAGTTACTCAGTTCTGTAGGCCATTTTAGGTACATAAACTCTATCATAAATTGCAATCATTGTGAAATATCATAATCATTGCATATGATTTCTAATACAGATGTTAACTGAAGCAAAAAGCAGCCAGAGGTTGTGCTTAGACTTTGGAGTGCAAAATCACATTTCAAAAGCAGGTATTAAAATGAGACCTACTGCTTTCATAGCCACCATATTATCATCCGTATCAAATCATAATCTATGCACAAAGTTGCTTGTATGCATTATTTGTGTGCACAATTTAAAGCCTGTGCACAGAAAAGGTTGGAAATGAAAAACAGTATTTTAATAAATTGGGCTTTCGAGATCAAGACCTCACTTTAGAGGTCAGTTTAAGGCACCTTAAAAATTTGGCCTGGTATTTCAGACTGTTTCTGAATAAACAGAATACAGTAGAGGACAGCAAAGATTAATGCTAAATACAGTAAGGACTGCAGGATTTACGCCCATAAAAACATGGGAAGAAATAACAAAGTCCCGAGAGCATAATACTTGTTGGCATTTAACTTCAACAAACTGTGCAAAGTCTATTATTTAATGCTATCAAAATATGCTATAATACTAACAGAGAATTGACACTAGAGGAACAGGCAAATATTACTGCATAAGTAAGGAACGTCGTTGAGTAACTGGACCAACTGCAACATCACTATTGTAAAATAAATGCAACTCCTGTTTATTCCAGAAGCCATACTGCGGTATACAAACATTAAGATCACAGATGTTTTCCTTGCAGAAGTACTTTTACTCATTTCCTCCTTATATTTCATGCAAAAATACTGATTTGTAAATTCACAAACCACTGTCAGCCAATATTTTTATAAATCATTAGTTATTTCTAATTGGTACTGAATGTTAAGTGACTTCAAATTTATAACGTGTGCTTTACAGTTAAGCAGCAGCAGTCTCTTCTAGCTATGCTAAAATTAGAGGACATGATGTTTTTTAATATGGTGTTTTGTATAAAAGAGGCCTTGCAAGGCAGCGACGGTTACTGTCTGAAAAAGGCTGCAGTCTCCTACAAAAGCTGTTTACGACTGATATGAATTAGATACATCTGTACAGAAAGTATTTAGCATAAACATTCCCATCATAGTAATTTTTGAGTTATTTCTATGGCAGGATTAAATCTGGATAATATTTTCCTGTAGTATTAAAGAACTGAGTTGTTGAACACAGATGCTTAGCATATTTTTTTTTTAAGTAGGATGGGAAACAACGGGGAAGATTTAGCCTGTACATTGCCTTGTTCTGCCAATTTAAATTGAAGTTCCTCATGGCTAGGGGACTGATTTTTTGCCTTTGTGGACGTTTTCTGTACATTCAGATGTTTGCAAATGGAGAGAGAGTAGCATTTTTCTTGTCTTTCATCAGACTTGGGTATGGGTGACAGCAATTTAGAGGTCAGCAATCTGCAAGGTTATGTTGGACCATTGATCAAAACCAGCAATCATCCACTTAGTAATTTTTTTCGCTTTCTTGGAATTTCCTACACTTGCCTGGAAATTAATTATTTCTCTTGTGAACTAAGAACAATAATAAATCACCTTTCACCGCCTGGAGGGTTGAGGGTTAGGAGCGCCGCGGTGCCTTGAGGGGAGCAGGCCGGGGGACGTTACCGCTGTTTCATTTCACGGGGTTGCCAGTTTTAAAGGACAGGATATGAAACACGTTGTATCTTGCGTATAACTTTGTAAAAACGCTTGTCAATGAAAATAAAATAAGCTCTTCCCTTCCATCGCTGCCAGGCTGGTTTTGTGTGTGCGTGATAAATGAATTTGAGGTTTTCGGATTTAAAAACTGCACTTGAAGCAGCTGCGGGGGGGGGGCGAAGG